GTTACTACTTTCTAGTCTTCATGTTCTCCAAATCTGAGAGATGGCCTGATATCTGCCAAATGCTTGTGGGGCCTCACTGGGGAGGAGCGCTCCAAGCAGAGTGAGGGCCCCCAGTCCAGTGCAGACCAAGGGAGGAGCGCACAGAGGAGATTCAAATCCTCAGCCTTTCCTTCCTCCTTAAGCTGGGACTCTGACTCTGAGAAGGAAACACTAGATGGTAACACACCTGTTGCATGCATGTAAAGACAACGTTAGCAGTGCATTCTGCTGGAAAGCTAAACTAGTACTGAGCCTATGTGCCTATCATTGTTGTCCCCTTATTGTTTTAAATGTTTTTCCAGTGTGCTGTAGTCAGAAGTCTTTCAGTTTGCTCTCTCTGTAATCTCAGCACTTTCTTTAACTGTGGATTTTACCTGTGAAGCTGTGAAGTGATGTTTCTGTGGTTGTTTGTTTTGTGCGCTGTCGTGCGTCAGAGGAGGAGCTACAGAACTTTTCTAACCCTCACGGTCTGGCTGCTCACAGTCCAGGATCTCCTTCTTCTGGACTAAGGTGAGGAGGAGGTGGTGTAGGACGAAGGGTGATGAAATTTGACTTTAATGAATACCCACATAGAAAAGAAATATAATATTTTAAAAAGTCCCATTAATTTCAAGAGATATATATTTAGTCATGAAAGGTGCTCCTTTAACATTTTTTATTTACAGCACAATGTTTACATGAGTCATATTTAGCTTTTAATAAATATCTTAGGAATTTACAGAGAAAAGGGGCAACTTTCATGAATAAGTAGTTATCCTTTAAAGAACTATAATATATCACTCATGAATAGTCAATATATGATTTTTTCTTTTCTATAAGGGTATGCAGTAAAGACTTAAGCAATACTGAGGTCATAAGGCAAAGTGGGCCTGGATACCAGTTACTTACGTTAACTCGTTGCTTACTCAGTGCTGAGTGGGAACATTTGAAAGAAACACTGGTTCAACATTAGCAACACTCTTTAGCTGTGGCTCAAAGCTATCGAGAGCAGCTGTTAGCTTAGCATAAAAGCACAAACGTTTAAAAGCCAAGCTCAGTTTATGGCTAACTTTAGTCTGTATAAAGATGAAGGTGCTTTTGTGTTTTATTGCATTATTTGTACTGAGTGCAATATGAGTTATTCAGATGGCTGCACCTCCCTGAGCCTCTGCAGGACATTTCTTCCGGTTAAAAGGGAGTTTTTCCTTCCAAAGTTTGTCCTTCACAAGTGTTTGCTCAGTGGCGCTTATCTGTTTGTTGGTGTTTTCTTTATTATTATTATAGGGTTTTAACTTTACAATATTAGGTGCCTTGAAGTAACTGTTGTTGCGATTTGGAGCTATATAAAAAAAACTGAACTGAATTTATTTGAATTTGAACTGATGCTATAAGCTAACTACCAGTGTTGCCAACTTAGCGACTTTGTTGCTATATTTAGTGAGTTTTCAGACCCCCTTAGCGACTTTTTTTCCTTAAAAAACGACTAGCGACAAATCTGGCGACTTTTTCTAGTATTATTGGAGACTTATTTATGACGACTTTTTGACGTGAAAACGCGTATCGCTCTTACACTCAACAAGCAGCGGGTGCTGCCGTGGGCACCTCGCCCGTGCTAAAGCGCTCACAGGCGGAGGATAGTCCTCCCCCAGCTGCTATCAGGGCAGAAGATGTTCACACCTATGCGTCCAAACTGCAAATGAATCGCGCATGAGCGAAGCCGCTGCTCCCGCACTGACTGTAACGCAGTCGGTTCTTATTTTACTGTTATGCTGTTTGGTGGATCACAAGGTTTAAAACTACTTATAAACACACACACACAGAAAGTAACTCCACCAGAGTGCCAATTTCGAGTCACTTTTGCCAGTCCAAGCCAAAGGATCAGGATTGGAATTGTGACATTAAAAAATAATAATTGCTAAAATAAATTTAATTTGTAATTCTAAATAAATTCTAAATGCATTTAGGGCATTTTTTACTCACTTTATGTCTCTTCCACGATGTTATTTCTCAGCTTGCAACGGACAGATGTGGGCAATCCACATTTCTTAATAAGACAAGTGCTCAAACTTGTCAACATTCTTAAATTACAGCAATATAGTTTAGAGTTTAGTACTTGACGTAGCAAGAAAATATATACTGTAAAAGTTAGCATACCTTCTCAAACAGGCACCATAAAGCATTTGAAAAACATAGGTCTCGGTTTCCACCTTTGAGAAAAAAAGAAACAATGATGGAAACTGAAGGCCTACAACAGTCTTATGTTAAAATGGGCCTTTCCTTCTATGTACCCCTTATAAGAGAAGTTAGTTACTTATATATAGTTGGGTCCATAATCTTTAAGTGCAGAGCTTTAATTCAAGTTGTTTAACAACAATTTTGAATGGACTTTCTAGAAATTACTGTTATTTTTTAAATTTTTTTTCCCATTTTCAGAGCCACAGAAGCAGTTGGACATACTTACACTTAAATAAATATTAGACACGTAACCAATTTTCTATGTAAAGATATTTCTAAATGTGCTATTGACATGAAATTCTCATCAGATGTCAGTAACAACTCATTCAGTCCACACATGCAAAGAAATCAAACCATAGATGTCCATAAATTAAGTGATGTTTAATAATGAGAAATGACATAGGGAAAAATATCGAAGAAGGGAGGTTCAAAAGGGCATGGGAAGTCATAGCAACTGAAATCTATCAGTAATCAGAAAGCAATCCTGCCACTTAGTGCAAATGAATATCAGCTGGTTCAGTCTCAAATGATGGCCTATAAAAGATGGCTCATTATCAAGGTGTCACATTAGAAACATATTATAATGAGTAAAACCACTGAGCTCTCTCAAGACCTTTGCAACCTTATTGTTGCAAAACATACTGATGGCATTGGTTACAGAAGAATTTCTAAACTAGTGAAGGTTCCAGTGAAAATGAAAAGTCATGCACGCCATATGCAAGACTCCATTGCTGAAGAAAACTCATAATGAAGTTCAGCAAACTTTAGACCCGCTTTAGACAAGCTTGTGAAAAACTGGGAGAATGTAGACTGGTTAGATGAGGTCAAAGTTGAGCTGTTTGGAGGCCAAAAGGCACTGCATACCAACAGTAAAGCTTGGAGGTGGGAACATCAGTGTGGGGCTGTTTTTTAGCATACAGCACTGGCATGCTTCATATAATTGAAGGAAAGATGAATGGAGACATGTCCAGGGACATTCTTGATAAAAAAAAATCTGCTGCCACCTACCAGGATGATGATGATGATGATGATGATGATGAAATGATGCAAAACACACAGCATAGGATACTCCGAGTTGCTTTCAGAGAAAGAAAATAAAGCTGCTACAAACTCAAGACTTTAGAGTCTTTATATTTGCAGATTCTCTAGATTCTCAACTAATACTAGATGTGATCCTTTGCAGTAGGTGACTAGACCACATAGACATATCCACATGTGTTTCCTTGAGATGCTTGCTAGGCCTTTACTGCAGACTCCTTTAGGTAATACTTGTTTGTGGGTGTCTGCATTCAGCTTTGTATTAAATAACTGAAAACTGTTCTCCTGCATTGAGATTAGGTAACTGGACATTTAAGAATATCATTATTCCTTTGTCTTGAGAAACTCTTGAGTTTCAATTACCCTGAGTAATTATCCATTAACACAGTAAAGTGCAGTTCCATTAGTTTTGCAGGATTTATTTAAATCTGAGTATAGGCCTGTACACTAAACATATTTATTTTTTCTAATCTATATTTCTAATCTTTTTTATTTTTCATTTTAACCTTGTTGTAAACCCACTGTGTTTCCGTTCATGAAGGCGTCTCTTGATTGTAGACTTTGACAATGATACGTCTATCTTTTTGAGTGTTCTTAACTTGGAAAGGAATTCTGCAATCATGCAATTTAGCTTTCTTCTGTGGCCAGTCAAGCCTTTTGGCGATGTGAAGTTGGCCAGTGCAATCATTCATTTTAAGCATGTTCCAAATTGTTTACTTGCCCACTCCTTTCTTCTAACTTTCTTATATGTTTATTTTGATCTTTCAGCCAAACGATGGCCCGCCTCACTTGCAACATCTCTTTGGGCTTCATTTTCAGAGTTCTAGTGAACGGATACTAAATGCAAGTTGAATACTTGGAATTGGCTCTAGATAGATCTACTTATTTTGTCAAGGAATAACAAAGGAACAGGCCTCACCTGGCCATGAATGGTCCAATTACTTTTGCACCTGACTGTAAATCCTAAACAGTCAATGCAATTTTTTTTAAACCTCTCGAGTTAAAGTTGGAAGTTTGCACTTTAGTAACTTTTTGATTGTTTGATTTAAAATCCACTGTGGTGATGTAAAGAGGCAAAATTAAACCTAATTAGACCTTACTGTATGTTATGAACTTGCATGTTCAACTTTTACATTTAGCTCACAGGAATCTATCAAAGAATCATCTTACCTGATTCTTTGAAAGATAACATATTAGTGTATTTCCTAAAGTGCTGAACACACTACTGTCTTTACTAAAACGTATTCCAGTTATAGTTATATAATGGACATAATGTGTTGACTCTCAGCTTTCATTTGTGTGCATCCACAGTCAAATTCAATGAAGAGTTTCAGCTCCTTAATGCAGGCCATCGTCTTTTTAAAGGGGACCAAAAGTAATGGGACATTTGACTCAAAGGCTATTTCACGGACAGATGTGGGCAATTCTTTCTTTATGTCATTATAAATTAAGCAGATAAAAGGCCTGGAGTTCATTTGAGGTGTGTTGGTTGCATTTTGGAAGATATTTCCATGAACAGACAACATTCGGTTAAAGGAGCTGCCCATGTAGGTGAAACACGCCATCCTTAAGCTGGGAAAACAGAAAACACCCATCCAAGAAATTGCTATAATATTAGGAGTGGCAAAATCTACAGTTTGTTACATCCTGAGAAAGAAAGAAAGCACTGGTAAACTCAGCAATGCAAAATGACCTGGACGTCCATGGACGATAACAGTGGTGGATGATCGCAGAAGCATTTCCATGGTGATGAGAAACCCCTTCACAACAGCCAACCGAGTGAACAACACTCTCCAGGAGTTAGGCGTATCGATATCCAAGTCTACCATAAAGAGAAGACTGCATGGAAGTAAATACAGAGGGTTTACTGCAAGGTGCAAGACCTCAAGAACAGAAAGGCTAGATTGGACTTTGCTAAAAAAAAAAAAAAAACATCAAAAAAAACCCCAGCACAGTTCTGGAAAAACATTCTTTGGCAGATGAAACCAAGACCAACCTCTACAAGAATGATGTCAAGAAAAGGCGTGGAACAGCTCATGATCCAAAGGACAACGCATCATCTGTAAAGCACAGGGGAGGCAGTGTGATGGTTTGGGCGTGCATGGCTGCCAGTGGCACTGAGACACTAGTGTTTATTAATAATGTGACACAGGGCAGAAGCAGCTGAATGAACTCTGAAGTGCTCAGAGACATACGGTCTGCTCAAATCTAGCTAAATACAGTTGCGCGGGATTTCGTAATAGAGACGGACAATGACCCAAAACATACAGCCAAAGCACCCCAGGAGTTTATTAAACCAAAGAAGTGGATTATTCTTGAATGGCCAAGCAAGTGATCTTAACCCAATTGAGCATGCATTTCACTTGTTGAAGACTTTGCAGAGAAAGGCCCTCAAACAAACAAACAGCAACTGAAAGTAAAGGCCTGGCAAAAAAAAAAAGGAATTAAAAGGAAGAAACCCAGCATCTGGTGATGTCCAAGAGTTTAAGACTTCAGACTGTTATTGCCAGCAAAGGGTTTTCAACCAGGTATTAGAAATGAACATTTTATTTTCAGTTATTTAATTATAATGAAATAACTATGATAATAATAATAATATTTATTTTTGTCCAATTACTTTTGATCCCCTGAAATGAAGGGGTTGTGTTAAGAATGCTTGTAGTTCCTCACGTCTTTATGCAGTCTTTTCTTTTAACCCACTAAATTAAAGCTGAAAGTCTGCACTTCAGCTGCATCTGAGTTATTTCATTTAAAATCATTGTGGTAATATGCAGAACCAAAATTAGAAAAAACTTGTCTCTTACCAAATTTTTATGGACCTAACTGTAGTTTAAAACATTCCCAGCATTTCCATGTTTATAATTACACATCCCTTAGTTAGCTAAAACCCACAAAATTCCCTGAAAAGATGGGGGACTCGACCTCAGTGGTGGCAATGGGCCTGAGAATAAGAAATATGAGGCCACACATGATTTCTGATTTTTTCCTGAATACAGGCAGATACTTTTTTAAAATTTATTATGAATATGATGTAATAATTTTTTTTTTCTGATGACATCCAGACTTGATAGTGAAGATGACGAAGTACCTGATAAAATGCAGCACTTCCATAGTAAGACTGGCATGTCTACACCCGCTGAGGGGCACAGTGATAACAATGAGAGCACAAAGACAGAGGAGCCAAATACATCCCAGCCTGGCCAAACAGAATGTAAGTACCATACTGAATAAACTTAGTCTGCCTGCACACTCGATAGCTTTGTTTTTAAAATCTTCTCTTTCACTGAGAATTCTCCTGCTTTCTTTGCAGTAGCAGACAGCAAATTCTGGAATGTATCTGAGGGAGCTGAGCCATTCCTGTCTAAAGTAAAACCAAAGGAAGGTTGCCAAATGGAGGAGGAGGAGGTGGTGCTGGACAACGGGGAGGGAGAAAAAAAGCCCAAGGGAAAGGAAACCAAGGAGCCTGAGAGAGATGTGTACACCTTCCCCGGAGACTCAGACCAAGAGAGTCCCCCTCCTGCCCCCTGGGCTCATTGCACATTCATTCAGCGGTGCAGAAAAAAGAGGGTCTTGCTCAGGCCCTTCTCAGGACTTGGCACCTTAAAGCGTACGTTGCCTGAGACTGCCAAATTGGCAAGATCTAGTCCTCAAAAATCTGAAACAGTACAGCTAAATCGAGGTGGAGGGGTTTATGACTTTGAGGAGGTCAGCTTTGGAGAGGGAGGGGTGGAACCCATAAAGTTCAGAGACAGAGGTGGGAGAAGAGACAAAGAAGGAGAAGAAAGTGGAGTGGAGACAGATAAAGAGATTTTCACGTGTGTCGAGTGTAGCATTTATTTTAAAAAGCAGGTCCATCTGCAAGAACACATGATTGAGCACAATCAGAGTGGCGCAGGGGGTGTCAGGCGGTTTGGAAAGGGCAGCCGCTTTCGGTGCACTGAGTGTGGATGGAACCTGCCAAATCGACTTGCACTTGCTGACCACCATAGAAGGCACGAAGAGTCACGACTGAAGATCCTGGAAGAAATTGAGAAACTGAATGAAAATGGGAAAGCAAAAGAATTTCAGACACTGGACAGCAAGGTGTTGAAAAATAGAAGCATAGACCCGACAGTTATAGAAAATACCGGCCCAGGCTCAGTACTGAGCAAGGTGGTAGACCCAGACACGGTCAAATCTCCACCTCTATCGCCAGTGTCAACACTGGATACAGACCCAGGAGTCCTTGACCTAAAAACATCCCCGCCAAATTCAGTTCGAACCCCAACTCAGACCCGAGCTCTCTCTGCCTACCGTCGCCGCTTTATCTGTACCAAGTGTAACTTCAGCACAAGAACATCCCAGGCACTAGCTAATCACTCCAAGACCCACACCAGGAAAAAGCCCACTCTCCAGTCAGATTCTTCTTCCTCTGGCTCACCACTGAGTTTGGCATCTACTTCCCTGACCTGTGGTCACTGTGGCTTCCTGACCTCAAGTGAATCCATACTGATGGAACACCGGGCACTCGTTCATCCAGGAGAGATCGACGAGTCTGGACAGCGTTTAAAGGCTAGTATGGGAGCAAGAATTTTTAAACCCAACCTAGACCCTGAGTTCGTCTCTGAATCCGGATCTCAGCATGATGCAACTCAAGGCAAAAGCCAGCGAGCAGTTACTGCTTCTGATGACAGCAGAACACCAGACGGCACTACAGCTCGGCCTGTGAGACAGGTGGTCTGTAACAGGAGATTCAGCACAAGAGGCAAACCTTGGACTGATCTGGCCAAGCTTGACACCACTGGGGATGGTGAAAAGCTGCCTGAGAGTGAAGAGGAAGAGCAGGACCAAGATCAGAAGTCAGAGTTTAAGACAGAGCTGTGTCGGGAAGAGGAAAGCTCATCAGTGGAAGTCAGGCCTCAGACTAGAGCACAATCCAACATGGGTGAGACTAAATAAGAACTCAATTGTTAATTTCAGAGTTATAATTTACCCTTGATTGATAGAAATGACAGAAAATTAGCTAATTATTATTATTTTTTTATTCAGATTTCTTGATGCGCATCCACTGCCTACTGTTTGAGTTAGATTTTGTGATAATTTTAATCAAAAGTTCATTTTCTTTCCTTGATAGATGATGGCTCATCGCTGCAGAGTGCTCCATTACCGCTCCCCACCAAGAAGAGCGAAAAGGACGATGACAAGAAGGAAGCGGAAAAAGACGGGAAGGTTTTCTTTCTGAGGAGGAGCACCAGGGTCGCTGCCGCTCCTGTAGAAATTGACAGCGACGACGACGAAGACATTGACGAGGAACGTGTGCGACGTTTCCTGTCAGAGGGCGTCCTGGATGAAGACAAAGACGAGATTGATGAGGACACAGAGGCGCTGAAGAGCGTGGAGAGGAAATGCCCCTACTGCCCCGATCGATTTCATAATGGAATTGGGCTTGCCAATCACGTGAGAGGCCACCTGAACCGTGTGGGCGTCAGTTACAACGTGCGTCACTTCATATCCCCGGAGGAAGTCAACGCGATTGAGAAGAAGTTTTCTTATCAGAAGAAGAAAAAAAAAGGTCAGCACCCTGTCGCATGTGTTTCTTAGACTATGTAGATGTCTTTGCAGATTTGGAACCCCGTCTTTTTATTGTGTTTGGAGTAAAACATCTTTACAAGAAGACTCTGATATAGGCTATCATATCTCACATCATATTTTTATACAAGTTTTTACATTTTTTTCATATTTTTCTCCGTGTTTAATTTTTTGTTGATGTGATGAACACTTTGAGAAATGTATATTGAATTTCTATAATATAACGCAGTGGTTTGTAACCTATCGGTTAGTTCTTTGGCTTAAACTATGTCCACATATTTATGGCTATTTTTGTAGCTGATGTTTGCAGATGTTCATGTAGCTAATCTGATAAATTTACATGTCAGCCACTCGTAACCTTGCTTCAACTGTTCACCTCAAAACTGAGAGAAGTTAAAACTTAGAGGGCCAAGTTTTCATAACCCTAACCCAACTCTAACCCTGTATGAACATTTTTTGTGTGTTAGTTTTCTTTGTTCTGGGATTGCCAAGACTGGGAAGAACAATTCAATAATTGGGTAGTGTTAGGGTCATCATCACCAATGATGACTTAAACCTTCGAAAGTTAACCTGCATGTCTCTTCCTGTGTTTTCTTTGTTTACGGTTTTTGGTTTAGTTCAAGTTAGAATTCAAGTTTATTTATAAAGCACTTTTAAAACAACATCTGTTGACCAAAGTACTGTACAATAAAAATAGTCAAGGCAAAAGACATAAAATAGGATAAAGGTAGAAGGGAATAGAATTATAGAATGATAATAAATAAAAACAATAGTAACAGGCTCATACTGATTTAAAAATGGGTCTTTAGATGGGTTTTAAAAGTATCCAGTGTTGTGGAGGTCCTGATATGCAGAGGCAAAGTGTTCCACAATTTAGGCGCAGTCACCACAAATGCCTGGTCTCCTCTGTGTTTTAATCTGGACCTTGGGACAACTAGGAACATTTGGTCCGCAGACTTCAAAGATCTTGCAGGTGTATACCAGGTTAGTAGATCAGAATTACATTTTAATAAATGCAATCCGACTTTCACTTTTTATAGAGACTCTTTACCTTCATATTCTGCTTATTAACAAGCAGAAAGCAGACGCCAGAAAGTTTAATCTTTGAACTGCATATTCATATGCAGATATCTGTTCCTACAGATAAGTCCAACAACAACCCAACAGTTGGTGGAGGCATGAGAGATTTCACTTGAGACCACCCAGATAGGGGTGCTAAAGGAAAGTTCAGTACACTAATGAATAAAATTCATCTCTTGAGAGCCATGATTATTCAAAGTTTCATGGCAGTTATTTTTGGGGTTGGCTTGACCAAAGTGGTAACTCAGCAAATGACCAACAGACCAACACACCAGCATTGTGGTGTGTGGGTTTTTAAAAGGAAAAGTTGTTCCATCAATTTGTGGGGGTCAAAATAAAACAAACAAACAAAAGGTTGGGAACCATTGGCATGACATGCCTTACTTTACATTCAATCATTTGCATTGCTTCTTTCCCCTGTAGTTGCCAACTTTGACCCGGACACTTTCAGTGTGATGCACTGCGAGTTCTGTAGTGCTGGCTTCGATACCCGGGCTGGCCTGTCGAGCCACGCTCGGGCTCACCTCCGTGACTTCGGCATCACTAACTGGGATGTTACCATCTCCCCGATCCACATCTTGAGGGAGCTGTTCTCCAGCAGGCCTGACCTCGTAATCCCCACGGCTCCACCTCGGAGTTCTGGCTCTCCAGTGGAGGAAGACGAGGACGATGATGAAGACGAGAGAGACCTAGAGGATGAAGGGGAGGGAATTGTTAAAGTAAAGCTGGAGGAGGAGACAAGCGAAAGGACCCTGAGTGCTGCTGTTTCTGATGTGCTGCCTTCAGCATCTCCCCAATCCTGGAAGAAGCGGGACGGAGCAGAAGAGTGTAAAGGTGAGTTTCTATTATTGGTCCATCTTTAAAAATGGGAATGTGATAAACAGACCTTACTTATTGGTTGTGTGATTAATCTGCTGGCTGCTGATGGCTCTGATGGGTCGCTACCTTGTCCACGTTTGAAGTTTGAGCTTGGCTCTCTGTTGCCTCATAAAACCAAGATAGAAGGAGATAATGATAAAGCAGTTAGAAATGTGTTTTGAAGTTACTGCCTGTCCTCGGTGGGAAGTACTGGAGTCAGGTGGCTGCTGAGAAAAATCAGCCTTTGCGCGAGTGTGTGTGTGTGTGTGTGTGTGAGGGAGAGAGCTGGAAAGAGTGAGAGAATCCCTGATGCCCATGGTTGATGTGGCACTCGGTGCATTTATCCCAACCTCCGCCTCCACTCGATTGGTCACGCCTTAGCTTAGCGGTGCATATGGGGGCAAAATGGCTGCTTCCACCTCCCCGCAGACCCAAACAATAGCGGAAAAACTGTCTGGCTTCAGCTGCCGGGAGTCCGATGCACTGCGGTTGCGGACCGGTGAGTACCGCGCGCCGTAATTCCCGTGCACCGCGTGCCCTCGGATCGCGCGGCGGCTTCTTCGCACTGCACGTCTGGCGCCGCATCTTCTGTCACAATGTAGCCAGATTAACAGCCATTAAAAAGAAAGAAAGAGAGAAAGAAAGAAAAACTCTTTATCACGTTGGAGACCGCGTAAAGAAAATGAGTGTCGCGTGCAGGTAGCCTGTGACACGCATGTCAGAAGCTCATAAAGCGGGTCATTGTTATTGTTTCGGGTTTCCTGATTTTGCACGCGGGGATAGATTGTGTGCATTTTGGCTGTTGTGATACTATTGTTGCAGTTTGTTTTTTTCTTTTCAATACATATATATGTGAGTGTGTGTCTGTGTGCTTTCCCCCCTCTATTATACACGTATCGAATGACGTCCAGTATTTCCAATGCTGCAGGATCTCTAAAATTACCTACAGTTGCCCAATCCTCGCCATTTTACTTTGCTTTGATTTTTGATAGAGGACACGCTGTGCCTTCAAGTGCATGCTTTTGTGCATGTCTCTTTTTTTCTCCCCCTACAATAAACTGACCGCGAGAATAGTCGGGAAACGTGGTAACTTTGTTGACCCAAAGTAGCAGCAGTTAGTAACCGGTAATCTTATTGCAACTTATCCGGATCAACCAAGTATAATGGAAGTATCACTTTTACTTGGAAGTGTCGGGTTGCTCACTCTCTCTCCGCCCGAACGGGCACAAAGTTAGCGTTTGCCACTTTGCCTCCGATCTTAGAAATTAGCCCTGTGATTATTTGGCGTTGTCTTTAGCATAATAAACGGTGTTATAACGCTGCGTTCCGGGGTGTCACATCGCTGCTCTTTTACAGTCAAGAGATGAACTGACAAGCGCAGAGCCGCCCACCAGACAAAAAGCATTGTCTGTCTCCACGTCTCTTTTGATTTACCGATTTGTCGCAGAAAATGGCACTTTTGTCCCAGGAATGTCTGACTGCGGGGAACCAAGACTGTCGCGTTTGTTTCATACTGTAGTGCAGTTATTACTTTTTTTGTTTTGTTCTTTGGCTTTTTTTTTTTTTTTGACAGGGATTCATTACTTGAATTGTTTTTATGCATATTTCCCCCACAGAATGCATTACAACGCGCTGCTGTAACAAGGAGGGAGAAAATAACAGGGCATTGAGCTCACAGGACTGAGCTGATTTTTCAGCTCACAGCCTGATTCTTTTCTTCTTTTATCCACATATACATGCATTTAATGCGTGCATATGCGTTTGATGCAGTTTATTTATTTATTTCCCCCAATGTATAATTAGCTTTGAGATGCATCCCTCAGACTGCTATTTAATGTGATTTGTCATGACATTCATCACTTAGCCTAATTACTGTGGATTTTCTGCACTTAAGACGGATACGGTTGTGTTTTTAGGCGATGACGAGGAGGGAGCAGAGGAAGAAGATGAGGAGGAGCTGCAGCAGCTATCAGCCCTGGACGGTTTGAGCTCAAGCCCCGGGAAAACGGGGCTGCGCGGCGTGAACACGGACAGCCGCTCTCCTGGGGAGGATGCAGACACCGCGGGTGAGGCAGGAATGTGGGAATGCTGACCTCAGAGTGTTTACAGGGGATTGGATTTGCTACAGCCAAGCCTCATCATAGCTGTCAGTGGGAAAACTGTAGTGGTAACAGAGATGCTACAAGAGAGGGGGTTATCACAAGGGAAATCCTGAGAGGAAGACAAATCTTTTAGGGGGTAATTAGAGCACCCCTAGTACTGTGTAACGCGTATTCTGGGATATCTGTGGTCTCTAGAATAACCCGAGCTGGTTTTAAAACTGGGGTGGCTGTCGCTCAGGAAGTAGAGCAGGCTGTCTGCTAATCTGAAGGTTGGTGGTTCAATCCCTGACTGCTCCAGTCTGCATGCCAAAGTATCCTTGGGGAATATACTGAACCCTAGGACCTGGTTCATCAGAGTGTGAATGTTAGATTATGATGAATGTGTGTGTGAATAAGGCTCGTAGTATAGATGCTTTGTATGCAGAGTAGAAAAACACTATGTAAGTGCTCAAGCTGCCTAAAAACAGATGTCATCTGTAGCGGTTTGAAACATTTATAACATTTGTAAGACACAGCTTATTACCCAGTCTTATGCTGTCTTTCACACTTGTGCAGACAACAACTTGAAGTGTGAGGTGTGCGAAGCTCAGTTTGAGACCAAGCGCGGCCTCTCCATCCATGCCCGCTCTCACTTGCGCCAGCTGGGCATCACCGTTTCAGACGGCAGCGGGACCTCCATTGAGCTCCTCCGCCGGATTGCCAAGGAGCGCAAAATAAGCTCGTCTCTTCAGGAGCCACTCGTAGCTGAGAGCCCCTCCCCGTCCGTTGCCCCAAAAGATGAGGACATGGACTTAGACGAGAAACCCATCCCTCTGTCCCTCTTGGCCAAAGCAGCGAAAGCAGTGCCGCTCTCGTCCTCCTCCACACCTTCTCCGGGCGCCTCTCCGGCTCCGGCTCACTCCGGCTCTCCTTCCTCGGTAGTGAAGAAAGCCCCCATTTCCTCTCTACTACCTGTGTCTTCCCCCTTGCGCTCTCCTGAGCACAAGGCAGGGGGCATGAAAAACTTGACCTCTAACCTCTCCGGCTCAGCAACCATTGCAACAGCCAAACCCCTCTGGGCGCCAGAGGAGAATGATGCTCCTCTTAACCTCAGTAAGTGTCGCTGTCCTAGCTGATGACTGTTTTATCTTTTCATTGCTTCATGTTTAGTCATTTCTTTCTTCTGTTCATAGCACTGGAGGTTGACCCCAACAAAGACATTGTTTGTCAGCTGTGCGGCGCCTGGTTTGAAACCCGGAAAGGCTTATCCAGCCATGCTCGAGCTCACCTGCGGCACTTTGGGGTGGAGTACTCGGAATCCAAGGGGTCTCCCATCAGCCTCCTGAACCGGCTCATCGACACGGATGACTTTAAGCACAAAGCCAGTGCATTGCAGCTCGACAACCACACAGAGCCACGGAGCCTCGCCCCCACTACGCTCTCCTCCTCAAAGCCATCCTTGCTGACACTCTCCTCCTCTTCCTCTTCATCACTCCTCTACAAGGTGACCACGACCGGGAGTGGATCAACATCCAAAGCTACCTCTTCCTCTGCCTCATCTATACTTGGCCCACCTGCCAAGCGTCTCAAGTCCTCTTCCATGCAGGTCTTCCGCCTCAGTAGTGGGGAACTTATGGCCCTTCCACACAGTGAGTGTTGTAGTATCCATGAAATTAGACGATTTATAGAAGCATAATGCTTTCTCTGTTTAACGCAAGGTCAAACTTTCTCGTCCCTAAGGTGAACCTCCAAAGGAGATAGGCTGTGAATTCTGTGGGGAATATTTTGAGAATCGCAAAGGGCTGTCTAGCCACGCTCGCTCTCACCTGCGTCAGATGGGCATTACCGAGTGGTCCGTCAACGGCTCTCCGATTGACACCCTGAGGGAGATCATCACGAGACGGGGCCTGCCTTGCGCCCTCCCGCTGAAACCTCTCAAAACCCCACCGCCATCTTCTCCAGGACCGCCTCGTTCCCCCCTTTCGGTGTCCTCTTCTCCTTCAGCTACTCTCCTCAGTCGCCTGCCCTTCGCCTTCGCCCGCCCCTCCAGTCCTCAGCCCGCCGTGTCCAAGTCGAGCTCGGCTCCACCAACGCCTTCTAGCGGGCTGATTCTCAAGCTGAAGCCTGAGCCGGTGCAGGTAGAGGTCACCACGCCTGGAGCTGTCGGGAGATCTGGAGGGTTTTCAGCGGAGTCTCTCAACTCTAGCTGGAGGAGCTCTGACAGTGCGTTTCCTCTCAACTTAGGTATTTGAATCCTGTTTTGTCTTCAGTGCTTATTTAACAATTGTTAAGGAATAATTTATAGATAGGGGAAATCCCTTTCAAATGTACTGGCATGTCTAGTTTGTATTCATTAATCATTTATTATTGTTTGCTTCACCGACTGAATTAACCTCAGTTTAGTCAGGAGCATTTTTTAAGACAATCAGCGGCTACTTGGTGCAAGCCAAGCAACATCTCTGTAAATAACAGCATAAAACCACAAAATGTTTTTTCTGATTTTAGTTCTTTGTACAAATTATTAAAAAAAAAAACATTTTAAAAGTAGGGAAATTATGATTAACTTTTGGACTAAGGCATGCAGGCTGTTTTCCCCCTTTTTGAGAATATTTGGTAAGTTTTACAAAGCATAGACTGTATATAAAAGATGGTCTTAGCTACTGCGCTACAACCCATTATTTGGCAATGTCCTTTTTTGAAGCCTCAACTTCAGCATCTTTGTGTGATGGCAAATATGTGTGATGGCACTGGTTGCTCATGGGCTAACCACTTTTCAGTCAAATTTTATAGCAAATCTTGATTTGCTGTGGTCCCTCGTTTATCGCAGGAGTTACGTTCTAAAAATAACCCGCGATAAGTGAAATCCGCGATGTAGCCAACTTTATTTTTTACAATTATTATAGATGTTTTCTCAGACAGGCATGAACATTTCCACACTTTTCTCTCTTGTTTAAACAATCTCGAAGTTCAAACCTTCGTAAAAAAATAAGTCCAGTATTATAGAATGAAACCAAAGATCAAACCCTGCTTTCAGGTCCAGAACATGGGAATAGAGCAGCTGCGAGAGAATTCAACATTAATGAATCAATGGTATGGAAGTAGAGGAAATAAGAAGAATGAGTTGTAAAGTTTGACTTATCTGACTGTTTGGTTTCGCTTAATGCGCCTCATAATGCAATGTGCCTTATGGTCCAAAAAATACGGTAACTTCTACCTTCCTTTAGCATGTCCAGAAGTCCAACTTTTTGTGCGATGGTTAGCATCTTCCTCTGCCTTTTGGGTGCTACCGCAGGTGCCTTTGACGGTGCAAAACGTTTCGTCGACATTGTTGTGTTTGTTGGGGAGAAAACGTACAAACATACAGTACAGCACTTCAGAGTCACACTGCTAGCGATGGAAGATTTATGTAAATTTAACTGAACGCATTCGGTACTGTACAGGAGACACGGTACGGAGGAGACTGACTGACAGTGGTCTACAGCCAATCAGGACGCAGAACAAAATGCGCTGTAAAAAAAAGAAAAGAAAAAGCATGCAAAATTGCACAAAGTAAATCCGCAAAAGCAGCGAGGCTGCGAAAAGTGAACTGCGTTATAGTGAGGGACCACTGTATTGTCCTTTTAGACGATGGTTTACAAAATTAACATCATGTTTTAGTCACTAAAACTGCACTACTAGTCACTTTTGCCCATAAACGCATCATGAAAGTGTTTGCTGAGGTCATAGTTAAAGTGAGCCGTGGGTCATGCCCATAGGCTTCCATATAACCTTATGTCCCCCTACTGGTCATTAGAAAAATTACAAGTTTAAGACATCTGGCAGTTACTTCCACCTTTTACATACAGTCTGTCTTACAGATTAGAGTAGGACAAGTCTTCTCGTGTATCTCATGTAATGCTAAACAAACAATGCATGTAAATGTAGTGTATTCCTGGTAAAAATAACTGTATTTGGTAGTCGTGTGTGATCCACTGTATGTGATAACAGAGTGCACATTTTCACCTGGTATCTCTTTAGCCATGGCCCATGAGGTGGAGCCTACGAGGGATATCCGTTGCGAGTTCTGCGGGGAATATTTTGAGAATCGCAAAGGCCTTTCTAGCCACGCCCGCTCCCACCTGCGACAGATGGGCATCACAGAGTGGTCCGTCAATGGTTCGCCCATCGACACCCTGAGGGAGGTTATGCACAAGAGAGGGGTGGGTGGCTCCTCGCAGTCAGACCAAGGAGTGAAGAAAGAGTCCAGCCACGGAGCGAACAGTCCCTCCTGGGAGAGCACAGGGGGCGCCAGCGGCTCCGAGGGTTTGGGCGCTTCGGGTTACCAGTCCTCCAAATTCCGTAAATCTCCTCTCAGCTTGCTGCAGTCAGGGTCAAGGCTCCATAAGCAGGGTTTGGGGTCTGTGGGCCCATCTGCTACCCCATCTGCAGGGAAGTTTTTCAGGATGTCCCCACTGGGGAAAAGGCCTCTGTCTGAGGAGGCCCAGTCAGTGGAGACTGCGCACTCATCTCCACATCAGCTTAAGACTTTCTCATCCCTTCCACATGATTTCTCCTTCAAAAGAAAACCTTCCCCAGACAAGCATGCACACCAGGGTAAGATGCAGTTTTTCTCCACTTGCCCTGAACTTCATCTGATACCAATCATTATCCGCTAAGAAAAGGTCTTCTCTTTACTCCTTCCCTGTATTTTTCAGATCCCAGTTGTGAGCTGTGCGGCTTCTTCTTTGAGAACCGTAAGGCTTTAGCCAGCCACGCGCGAGCCCACCTGAGGCAGTTTGGTGTGACCGAGTGGTGTGTAAATGGATCCCCTATCGAGACGCTTAGCGCTTGGATGCGTAGCAGGCCGCAGAAGGTGTTGGAGATGCACCGCAGCTACATGCAGGGTAACCGCACCACCCTAAAGAAGGTGAGGAGTGGCAGTCAGTCTTTGGTAACGCATTTCAGCCGAATAACTCAGATCAGTGCAGCAAGCCGAGCCGCTTGGTCTTATTTTAGGCTTGTGATACTTCAAAGCCCGTTGTGACTGCTGTGAACATTTGATTTTAAAACAAAAAAACTGGGAGTTGTAAGCGGAGGAGCCCGCGCCTCAGACAAAAGTGTCACAGCTATGCAGCGAGAGATCATAACCCACTGTGCTACTTTCCTGACACGCTCACTTTCCTCTCAGTGTCTTTGAATAGGCGTCATGCTCGGAGATCTAACGAGCCCCAGCTGGTGGCACGACAGACATTTTGTGTCACGGAAAGCCTCAGACGTGTAGTCTCGCAGCTTTGAGCCTTACTGTAGATCCTGTGTCTTTTACACCAAGCAAAAATCACTGTGGGGACAGATGCCAGAACAACTCAGCTATTGACTTGATAGTTGCCATAGTAACCAGGGTGCCTGGCAGCTTATGTTTCATCTTCAGATAAATTATGGCGTGCTGTTGATAGAAGAAAATGTATGTTTTTTTCCCCTTTTTTTCCCTCCCCGCCTGAATTAGTTTCTGGTGCATTTGCGTCACTGTCACACCTTTTCCCTGAGTGGTGATGTGACACACATACAAAATAGATTACCTTTTAAATGTCCTTGTAATCATATTATTTTTTCATACAGACGTAGTCAAACTAACCTCGCTGTAGGATTTGATTGGCCTAAGTTATGACTGATGTCATGGTTAAAAAGGGTGTAATAATATAAATACCATTAATATTATTAGTGAGCTAATAAACCTGGGCAACTGTTTGACCTTTTCAGTGGAAAGGACGTGTCGCTTTTATTTCCTATTGCTTAATATGTTTGACATAAAGAACAGTTTATTATACCGTGACATCTTTGAATCAGGGGGAGATTTTATCCACTTATAAAAATCCACAGGGAAAAACACCCCATTAATGTTAGCTTGAAGCTAATAGTGACTAGCAAAAACGTATATAAAGTCTTTATATACTACATTAAGTTTACAGTCATAAATGGGTTCAATGCTTTAACAACACAAAGAATACAAAAAATCAAAACGGTAAAAGAAAATGGAAAATAGATGCAGTGATGTATTGAAACATGCAAACATTCATGAGGCAAAATCAGAATTTGTACAATTCTAACAAGCATCAGTGTAAATATTTAAGTAATATTTAGGCAGCTTTCTTGTCAAGTAGTCTTCAGGAATAGTTCTCCAGGCTTCTTGAAGGACATTCAAAGCTCTTCTTTGGATGTTTCTGCCCTTCCTTCTGTTCTCTGTCAAAACAATCCCACACTCCTTCAGTAATGTTGAGGTCCGGGCTCTGGGGACTGATGGTGTTCTGTTTTGGATTTTCCAGGTATACTTAGTATGACTGTGGCATAGCTAAATGAAGCCTCCACTACTTCTTCCATATATATTAATGTTAATTTGAACAAAAAAAAAGATTCATCAGTCTTATCAGACTGATTTTTGTTCAGATTCTTGTGTAATTTGGCATAACATCAGCTTTTTTCCGTTTCCCTTCCTTAAGAATGGCTTCTTGACAGCCACCCTTCCACTGAGAGCATTTCTGATGAGCCGTCAGTGAACAGTAGATGGATCAATTAAAAGTCCAGATGCATCTCTCAAGTCGTGTGTCATCCCTTTGCTGGATTTTTCTGTTTCACAAGACTTTGAGATACTCTTCATCTGCTCTACTTTTAAAAAAATGACTCATTGCACACCACGACAAGACCACTTTACAAAATTGCAAGAAGGTCTGGCTCCTTAGAAACAAAACATAAAGAAATGAGTGGTGGCTCAAGACACACATCACTGTAGGTAGACATTAAATGCATGAACCACAGCACTCAGACTTTCCTTAAAGTCTTAAAGTGGAGTAAATATGGCTGTTTGTAAGCAGGTATAGACTTCATATCGGAAAGGTATGGCCTGTGTCTTATTTGTCTGTTTCATCTTTTGTTCCGTCTCTCAGTTTGTGATCATTGCCGCTGGCTGTAATGGGGGTCACTGCCCCCGATGCTTCTCTTAACACTGGCACCAGAAATTCAGTATTTGTCTGGTTCTACACTTTACTGGTATGATATGTTGGAATGATTCTAACCAGTATCACAGGAAAAAAACGCAAAACAGTATTGGTGTCATCAACCCAGTGAGCCTGGACTGCCTTGGATGAAGAAATACTGCATTAGCACACGTTTTGAACGCCCACATTCGGACAACTTTTGTGATGATAGCTCTTTTTTATAGACATGTAGACCAACACATTCTGACCAGTCAGTAAGGCCAATATAACTTATATAAGTAAGTTTGCTGATCCAGGCACTATTTGGGATAATTGATCTAATTGGAGCTGTTTTGGCAAAATGTTTTGCCACTAGTCAGTCGGCAGTATTGCCCTTTGGGCGATAAAGAGGCCTTTCTAACACTTTCTGTAGCGAGCTAAACCTGTCTGTCCTTGATTGAGAGATCAGTCGCTCATCCTTGGAGATCTTTTCGGCTCGGTTGCGTACACAGCATGACAGGTTTCCAATGATTTAAGTCAGGGGACCATAAGAGCCCCATCAAAGCCTTCAGTGTTTCTTCAAGTACATCATCGTGGATTTTAAGGTCTGCTTGGGCCAACTGTGCTGTTGCAGAAGTCGCCTCTTTAGTTTCAGTGTCTCAGCTGTGTGACATTTAAAGCTGGAGATTTGTTGATATTTGGGGGAATGATTCTTAGATTTTCTTCATAGTATATGTGCTGTTTTCTTAGGTAAATTTTGGGTAGACTACTCTTCTAAAAGAGGAAGTCTGACATCATTAAAATGTATTTTCTGAGGTTGTATTTATTTACAAAAACTTTGTATCTGTACACGATAGCAAACAGTGTGTATTCTTTGAGACTAGATGACACAAGGGAAGAGTGGATCTGCACATATCCAGCTTTATTGTCTGTTTTACTGTAAATGGGAGCATACTTCCCAACAAGAACAGTGAGGTATATGAATCAGAACCTGAAACTAGCAATTTAGGCGGTAAACTCATTAGAAAAGCGTTTAATGAGCTTATAGATCAAGGGTCATTTTCTCAATAGACTTTTATACATTCTGACTTACAATCATTATGCAGCCGCACATTCCACAGCGCCTATTCAAAATGCAGGTTTAAGGTACTTTCCCATTTGCTTGACTTTTCAGACCCAGAGGCCGTGTCTCTTCAGTATATTTAGCTAAAAGCTAGTTGGCTAGTTAGTTTCACTGGGGTCATGTGCCAGAGCATATCTTGGCTAGTACCTGCCACACAAACACATAGACATAATCGCAGCACATACTTAGCACATTAAATGGAATCACATTATTATTTGTTTTAATTATATTTACCTATAAATATTTAAAGGTAAGTGCACTGGAGTAAGTTTTTTAGCCAGGTTTTTACAGGAAACAAACAAATTAGTATACTCTAAGTAAATTTAAGTACTGCGGAAATAGTTTTAGGTAATACATGAGTAATTTAAAGTATTGCATAACTTAAGGTATTTTATAGGAAAGAAGACAAATGTAAGTAGTTTTAATAACTGCAGAATGTCTTGGTAGGTTTGCAGAAAAACATAATATTTCGCCATCTTGCATCGATTGCTGTGCTTTTCAACATCCGGGTGTTATTATGGAGAGTCTTGGCATTGCCTAACTTCCAGGTATTTTACAGGAAAAGAGACACTCCTTTTCTTTAAAAGCTATGTTCTAACAGTGGTTTAATTCACCCATAACAGGACCCTGACCCCGAAACACACAGCTTATGTACGATGTAAGTTTGGGAAATATTCCTCCAAAAGTTGATTCTGTTCATCTGGATGTAGCGTTTTGTGGGAGAAACGTTTCGTCACTCATCCAAGTGACTTCTTCAGTCTCAGCTGACTGCAGGTTTGCCCAATCTTATAAACGGTACATTTGCATAATGACTGAAACCAGCCCACTGAAGGAACAATGGGCTGGGAGGTCAGTTCCTTAATCATAATTATGCAAATTCTCATGACCATTGATCAACAACCACTGATCAAAGCCCACTGATCAATGGCCACGAGTACCATTCACAGAGAGTTGGGGAATGGCTGCAATCACAGCATTGTAAGATGGCGAAAGATGCACCCTTAGGCCCCCTCTTCGATTCAGAGATGGTCTTTCCCTTTTCACGTAAATGGCCTCCTTGACTCCGCGCTCAAATCAGCGTTCCACCCTGTCCAAGATGTGAACTTCCTCATCATTGAAAGAGTGTCCACTGGCCTGTCGGTGTAAATAGACTGCAGAGTCCTGGCCTGACGAGGTAGCTCTTCTGTGTTGTGCCATCTGCTTCGCCAAAGGTTGTTTGGTTTCCCCAATGTATAAATCCTGGCAATCCTCCTGGCACTTAACAGCGTACACTATGTTACTCTGTTTGTGTCGGGGGACCAATTTTTGCTGCAGCGTGTTTTGGGGTGTAAAAGCCACAGAGACCCGGTGTTTAGAAACAATGCGTCTCAGCTGCTCTGATACTCCTGACACATATGGGATCACTACAGGTTTTCGCTTGGGCAGTGGTTGTCCTTCTCTCCTGGATCGGCTGGAGGTTTCTTTTGGCGCCTTCCCAGCTTTGACAAAAGTCCAGCTGGGATAACCACATTTACTCAGGGCCTTTTTGATGTGCTGTTCTTCTGCCTCCCTGGCCGCTGTGTGTGTGGGGATGGTGTTCGCTCTGTGTTGTAGCGTCCTGATGACACCCAGTTTGTGCTCCAGTGGATGATGAGAGTCGAACCTTAGATACTGATACGTATGTGTAGGTTTATGGTACACGTCAGCTTTGATCAGTGGGTTTTGGTCAGTGGTTGTTGATCAATGGTCATGAAAATTTGCATAATTAAGATTAAGGAACTGACCTCCCAGCCCATTGTTCCTTCAGTGGGCTGGTTTTAGTCATTATGCAAATGTACTGTTTGGGGAAACCTGCAGTCAGCTGAGACTGAAGAAGTCACTTGGATGAGTGACGAAACGTTTCCCCCACAAAACGCTACGTCCAGATGAACAGAATCAAATTTTGGAGATCTCCTTACCTGGATGATTGAGCATGCATCAAGATGGGGAAATATTGTTTCTCCAAAATTGCAATAAATTTGCACACCACGTTAAATTACTTATGCAGTACTTAAATGTAATTACATTACATTACAATTTGTTTTCTTTTCTGTAAAATACCTTAGGTTATGCTATGCTTAAAATCACTCGTGCTACCTATAATTGGATACGTACTACTGAAATGTACATACTGGTATGATTATTTAATTTCTTCCTGTAAAAACCTGACTTGTTACCACCTTATTCTGCCGTTCCTGCCTTTAAGGAATTTGTAGGTAAATATTGTACTTTCAAATAAAATACACTGAAATAAAATTTTATTGCAGGGGAATTACACCCTTAGTCACGCGCTGTGTTATAAAGTGTTAACCTTTTTGCTGGTCTCCAAAACAACAATGGCTAGGGTTGTGGTTTTCACTGATGGTTGAAACTCCATCAGTGAGTTTTAAGTGTTGCCAATATCTGCAGTTATCCATGTTAATAGAGCGAGTCTGATGCTCAGCTCAGCTATAGGTTCCCGTTATTTGATGCATAGGTGTCAGTAGAAGCTCAAATTAGGTCCCCATATGTCTGCAGATCTTTTGCCTTCCCTATTAATCACATTTTTTCATCCATTTGCTTTGTAAAGCTCATTGGAGGGTCTGTTAATTTCTAAGTGCTTTTATTGTAATCAGACTTCTAATTAGTGTTTTATATATGACGGGTGTGAGAGAATGGTCAGCAGGGACAGCTGGATATATAGTGTGTAATACTAATAATTAAAATAAGTAGAGAGAATCTTTTCTGTTACAGCTGCCTAATTCATTAACACAGCTAGATTGGTTGTAGTTAGATGCACTGTCCAGACTGTAATTATTGTAATTTTGTGCATGATTACACATTTTTTGCATAAGTGCTGAAAGAATTAGGTGGGAGCTAAAACCCTTTTAACATGTAGTGCTCAGATTTTAAGGGCTTAAACATTCTGTACAAGGCTACGTTCACACTGCAGGTCTTAATGCTCAGTTCCGATTTTTTGTCTGCTTGTTCACACTACAAATAAAATGCGACAGCAAACGCGCTCTAGTGTGAACGCTCAAAGTGGCCCGCATGCGCAAAAGAAGATGTCACACACAACGCGCTCTGTTTAGACCCAGAGCAAACAATATTGTTTGACTGATGGCCCTTAATAAAAAGACTTCGGACTTTACGTTTCCCAATTTTTGCTTTAAGTTATTTTGTTATTTACATAATAATGTAAATAACCTAATAATTATCATTATTGCTGTTCTAGAGGAGCGGTGCTTCAAAGGATAGTTGCAGATTTCTGTCAGAATCTGCAGATTATACAGTACAAATAAAATGTTCACGTTTCTCCAACGCTGTCTTCCCAACAGTTTCACTGACATCTACACTGGATGGCCAGGAAGCGTTCGCGATGTCTTCTCCGGAGCTGATAATTGGCGTCTGTCTTGTGTCAGTGACGTAAAAGACGGATTTAATGCGACATGACCATTCAAACAGCAGTCGCTTTCTAAAACATCGGATATGTATCGGATTCAGTACCACATACAAAAGTGACCCAGATCGGATTTGCAAATATCGGATTTGTGCCGTTCACACTGTCATACCATGATCGGATATGGGTCGCATAGGGTCAAAAAATCGGATTTGATGCGCTTTCGCCTGCAGTGTGAACGTAGCCAAAAAGTCTTGAGCCACCCCCTCATTTCTATATATCTTGCTTCCAAGGAGTCTAGTAGTTCTCCAGGCTTTCTGAAGGTCTTTGAACATTTTTTTGTTGACCAGCTCGAGGGATGAACCAGTGTTGTGTCTACAGATAATGGACAACTTAGCAAAAACCAACTAGCCTGTTGCAAAAAACAAAATTTCCCCCATTATTTAACTGAATCTATTAAAAATGTCAAAGATTACACAGTTTGAGAGACATAAAATAGTATTTTTGTACCAACAAGGTGAACCCCCCAAATAATTAGGCTAAAAGGGTGTGTTCTTAAATTGATTAAACTGGACAACTGGAGGACAAATGTAGTGGGCCTTAAAAAACAACCTAAAGCTGAAGTCCTTAAGAAATCCAACAAAGACCTGACACTGAGAGGTGGATCAGCCAGTGGTTCTGGGAATCTTGTTAGAATTGATGTAATTATAAATGCAGAAAAGTACAAATAGAGTTTGAACCACCCTACAATACTGTAAAGTGGAAAGTGTCAGAACTGGACAAAATCGAGCACAGGACTTGTCAGATTATGAAGAGACAAAGTCAGTATTAATCTAAATGTCACCTTATACCTCTCAGACACAGGTGATCATCTTTTAACTAACTTTGTGTTGATTAACAGCTGCTGAGAACAATTTGTGTCCAGGTACTTATGAACCCCACTAATATGGGTGCTGTGTACTTGAAAGGGGCTAATTACAACACAGTTGTCCTTATAGCAATATAAACCTAATCTACTGAAAAAAGATACACAGATGATGATGATATAAACCCACTTAAATTAAAGAAAGTGAAGATACAACAACAAAAATTATAGTAGTTTAAATACTGTCTCTGCACTAAATAGGAGGCTAATGCTAGTTCCTGGCTAGCTTAAATTAACAAGTCAGTCCCAGCACCGGGCCAGGAAATTGTTGGCAGATATCCTCCCCAAAATGAGTTCAAAAAAAGTCACATAACTTTTTAATTAGTAAGTAATGAGCTTTAGAGGAACTGGTGGTAGATTTTGTTACCTTTGGATAGAGCCAGCCTAGCTAACCGTTTTTCTACTTTTTTGCTTGAAACTAAGCTAACTCTAGCTTCCAAGTTACAAATTTACTCTGTTCATATGCCTTATTGGTATATAGGAAGAAATTCAAAGTCTTATCTGGGTTCTTATTTACTTTTGTTAATGTGCCAGTGTTTCTGTTTACATGGTAACAAGTATACCAGGACTCGCCAGTCTTTTTGTAATTTACTACTGATAAGATCACTCATTTTTTCCATGTTCCAGAAGAGCAGCTCACTGCTCACTGCGGATTCTGATCATATCCTCCCCATCTCATCGCAGAAGGCTTCCTCTTCCTCCTCCTCTCAGTGGTCTTCTTCTTTGGCTGTCAGCCTGGTGCGTCCACTGAGCCACGAGGTCAGCCAGGGCTCTTCCAAGACTGCAGAGGAAGAAATTGGTACCAACTTCCAGGGTGCTCCCATCAGGGCTGGTCGCAGCAGTCCCAGTCTCTCGCGGCTCGGCAGCGGCCACCCGCTTCAAGCACAGGTGGCGCGCAGTGAGCTCAATGTCCGCCTGCCTAGAGGTACGTGAGGATAGAGCATATGTCTTGGCTCTCAATCACATAGGTGCATACATATACAATGTATTATATATTCTCAAAAAATCAGTTGTTAATACTGGCATTAACAAGCCCTTGACAGGCGAAATTACCCTAATTTTTCCCTTTTTTCAGTCAATGTTTAACTATTTTACATTATATTGTTAAGGAAATATTACAATGTTATACATATTTTAGATTTAGGCAGAAAACTGAACCCTTTTTGACTTTAAATGACTGAATTGCCTCTAAGCTATACTGACATTGAAGCATTTTGGTGTAGCTCTACTTTGCACCAACCTCGTTTGTTACCTCCTCCTCTTGCTCAGGTTTTGAGCGTCGGCCGTTGAAGCACCCATCTTGCCCGGACGGAACAGAGAGGGATAGCGGCCCTCCTAAGCCCCCGCGCACAGGCACCGTCCCCGCCCTGGTGCCCAAACCACCCTCCTACCCGCTGGTCAAAGTGGTGGGCAAGTTCTACACCCTGAAGTGCCGGTATATGAAACTTGTGTCTTGGGATATAGCTTTCCAGGACCCAGGAAAAACTGTTCAGGGCTCTTAGCATTAGAAATTTGGAGACTGTAGCATTAATAGGACTGTCTGCCTATGTTTTAAATAGTCTGTTAATCCCCCAAGCAGCAATCCCTGTTCCCACGCCCTGTCGAGCAGTACTCCACTTTTAGTTGCTAATGCACTATATTGAGAAGAGCGAACCATTTGGGATTTTCAGGGAACATGAATGAGCGCTTAAGTTCTGATATAGCTGCAGCACAAGTGGCAGAATGGGCCGCCCCTGAGAGACAGAGAATCTGGCTTAGCGGCATCGGATTGTGTTTTATCTCTTTGTGTTAGAGCATAAGTAGTTGCATTCATTTTACTGCCTATCGGTAACGCCGTAAGTGATAATTTCCAGCCTAAAAAGTGTGTTTTTGTTCATCAGATTCTGTGAGGTCGAGTTCCACGGTCCGCTGTCGGTGCAGGAGGACTGGATCAGACACCTCCAGCAGCACATTCTCAAGATGAACTACAACAAGCCCGCTGCTGCCAAAGCAACAGCCACCGAACCACCTGCCCTAGCTGACGATCCTGTGCCGCTCCAGGCCTCTGTCCCAGCCTCCACCTCTACCTCCAGAACCACCTCTACCGCACCGGCTCTCACTTCCACCTCAAACAGCAACACGACTCCCAAGAGCCGCTCCCCCTCGCCCACGGCCGAGTGCGCTCCTGCCATCACTGCCACAGAGATAGTTCAAGTCTCAGAGGAGCAGCCAACTCTAACTCCAACTCCTATTCCTCTCCCCACCCAGACAGCGTAAGCTCACATTCATCACCTGTACTCATTTTATTTCTTCCAGTTTCTACTTGTTCACCCGTTTCTGTCCTTTGGCCTTCACAAAGTGGTGTTTAGGAGGAGCATTCTCCCTCCCAAAGAGCCCTCTGAGCCCCAAGCACCTTTTGAAGCAGCTTTCTAGACTGTTACTAAGTCCCGTTGCCATGAGAACGAAGCTCCACTGGCTTATCTGCACACCAGGGATGGGTGATTACGGGAAATGTCCAAGGTTATAAGGAGAGATGGACTAATGTTTGTGTTTGCCTTGTTTATATTGAATGTTCAGATGTGGATCATTACTGTACCTCTCTCATTCACTGGGCGATTTAGGGTTTAATATAACCCTTTATTAAACTTTAACACCTTGTCTACTACAACCTTCCCTCCAATCTTCTACTTATGAACAGCGCATTAAAAGACCTGTGAGATTTTGACCATTGCTTACCAGGATGTTGGTAGCTTTGACTTCTCACCCAAAGGTCCTGACTGAGATTAAGCGACAGTTCTAATCATGCTAGTCTTGCGGTTCAGACTTTAAACATGTGATAACACTTAGTGTTAATAAAGGCACTTTTAATGTGGACACTCAGCACTTAATGATACAATTTGAATAGGTTAATATGATATAGGGATGCACCGATATATGGGCCTAACACTGATATTGGTTGATATTGGCCTTGTTGAACAATATCTGCTCATTGGCAAATAAGATGGGATTTACAGGAATCGGTGGCCTGTTGTGATTAAAGGGACACAGCATGGGAAAACCAGACTAAAGTCACAAAATTTTTAAATTAAAAATTCAAACTGTGCCTGATCTTTGAAATATTGTGGTTTGAAATGACCACAGGTAAAAGATGGAAAACATTGCCAGCATCACCTAGGAGGCAAATTTTTCTGGTTGACTGGCTCAGCTGTGGGGTTTTCCCCCAAGTGCAATTTATTTTCAGTTTATCCATCAGAAAATGTTCAATAAACTAAATTTTTAGGCATAGTTTGAATAAATATTCCAGACAGTAAAGTTAAGGTAACAAATATTGGAAATATTGAAAAGTCAATTAATAAATATTTCTTTGTTCTCCTAGAACGGGGGTCTGCAACCATTACTGTCAAGAGAGACAGCTTTGAGCAATTTTTGTTCAAACCTATTTGAGGATTTTAATGAAACCTAAATTAAAAATGAAAGACACGAGTGAAGTATAAATTAGCATATCAACATTACCAGTAGGGTAAATAATTAAAATCTTTATCACGTGTGAGGTACCGGTGATCATCCTTACTTTAACTTTGCACTACAGTAATTCCTTGTGTTGCAACATTTATAAAAATTTTAGAACTACAATGAAAATTGATTACTATCGTTTTGCATTGCCAACAAAATGAAATAATTATTAAGCACAGGAAAAAAATTCAATTAGCATGTGTTTACTTGAAATTAGACATAAAGCTATGCAGGCCACTGCTAGCGTTTTTGCAAATGAATCGCATTAGAAACCTTTTTGATAATAAAGTAACATCAACCAAACAGCTTTAAAATTAGTACAAGTAAAAATCCCCATTTTAAATTTAATGTTGACTAAAATCTAGTTTAGTAGGAGGCAGTGCTCCTTTTTCCCCCCTTCAGCTACAATCAACCATCTGATCTACAAACAATCACATTGATATCCGCTAATAAATACAAAATTTAAACTTGAGCTCACTGATATCAGCCAGTTGAGCCTGCTATTTCCTGATAGATTTATAATATATCTATATTGTCCTTTATAACAACCAGTAAATTCAAATTAAACTAAAGATGAGGTGGGAGAAACACCCTTCATGTTATGAATGTTATGAGTGTTGCACAGTTTGGCCACCAGAGGGCACTCTGCAACTTCACTGTTGGCTACAATGTATAGAATGCCACAAAAACAACAACCAGCTGATGCGATGAGTCAGGCAGGGCAAAGAAATAATTGCACATTCTAACAAATGTTAGACAAATCTGCATATGTTTCGTGCGTCTGAAAGCACAAAAATATTTGAGTTTTTAAAGCACCAAATATCAGTACCGGTGTCAGTCTTAAAAATCCTGTATTGTTCATGCGTCAAATTTAAAAAAACGTGTCATAGGAAGTGAGCAAAAGAACCACAGGTTTGCGACCCCTGTCCAAGAACAACAAAAACATCAACAAAATTAGATAAAATGTTACCTGTAAGGTCCCGGAGTCAGTGCATCCCTAATGCGGATTGACAAAGACACATTCCGACTGACTGAAGGAACAAAAAGTGGAAGCACACCCAAAAAGGGAAACTCTTTACTCTATGAAGTAATACTCTCCCCAAAATACATGTTTCGCTTGAATGTAGCTTAAAGCACCTGTCAAAACCTTAAACGCACACATTCAAACTCAAATCAAACACAGGCCCTGTACTACAAATCAGGTAACAGTTTTATCTTTCACGATGTTACCACTCCACAGCCTGCTGTTTTCAACAGACAGGGCTGCAGTTGCTTTTTAATCTTGGAGACGTGAGGCCACAGTGTTCAAGGTTACACATCTCCATTCACAGTGTTGCCATTTTCTACCTGCCTTTTTCAATGTAACCCAAATTATTTATTTATTATGTTGCTTCTGAATGTGGTAAGCTAGGTCATTTAAAAGCTAGAGTATAACTTAGGAATGTTTTTGAAAATAGGCCGGCGGTGCGCTTTTATGCCAGCGCGTTCGTTTGTATGTCGGTGTACATACAGAGCAAATGTGCATTTGTTTCCCCATTTTAAAAGAGAAAGAGAGAGAGACAGACGTAAACGCGCTCGATACAGAGACACCTCATTAAGGTCAAAACGAACTAAATGTGGGAGCCTGTCTGGACTTACATGCATCCATCGTCTTGTTAGGATGTGCCAAAGAGCCTGTTTACTTCCCTGTCTTGCCTCTGTAAAAGCTGTTTACATTGGACCTGATGGTGGAGGAAACTCTGCACAGCTACCGGGTTTCCCCAGGGCCCCCCACGCAGAACAATGGACTGAACTAATGGTGGATCCCCCAGTTTTAAAGACTCTGGCTGCTGAAGCGGCTTCTCGTTTCCATGGGGGTTAGATTTTTCCAATTAAACGTGAACACAAGCCAAACTTGATTACAAAGCAGGGCTCTGGAGAACCGTCAGCCCTCAGTCCAAATGCAGAAACGCAGTCAACTTCGGCCTCCTGAGGATCGGAGGTCTGTAGTCTCTCTCATATCAACCTTGAACCGAAGCAGTAACTCAAAGGGTCCATGTAGGCGGGCAACCTTTTAGAGTTTGTTCCAGTGTTGCCCATGCTTGAAACATGACTGTTTGATCCAAACAATACCCTTAACCCTTTTATGGAGTATAGATGCATACTATATACAGTAACTACATGTACTTAAGAAACTGTTGATGCTAGTAGAGCCGTCTGCAGTTCTATTAGCGAGGTAGTTTAAAAATTAAGTGATCTTAATTCCTCTATTGTGATTTGATTTCAACATTTGATGCTATGTATTTTTTATTGCTCTGTGCATTTCTGTATTTGCAGTCCTGCAAGGTGAATCTTAGATTATTTTTTATTTTATCTGTTAGTCTCCCCAAGCTGAAACTTTTGGTGCTGGCGAGTGCGTTGTAGGTCGGGAGCTGGTTGAGTGACTGAACGCGAGGAAGACCTTTTAATATGATTGTCACGTCCTGGTATCAAAAGGACTCTAATAAGCGGGCCTTAAAGGGGACCATTTTGCAAGGTGAGATATAATTCTTCCTGTCTGCATTCACAGAGTAATAGACACTGTTGCCTCCTGCAGGTTTGTGGCTGCACTGCTGCGTGAGGTGTGAATTGGAGACCGGTGCATTATTAGTTCCCTTTTAAGATCACCCGATTAAGCCTCAGCTGGTGTAACTGGCTGTTTTGTGTGTGCGCATGTGTGTGTGCGTGTGTGTGAGTGTGCGTGTGTGTGAATGTTAATAAAAAAAGATAGATGACGATGTTAACTGAGAAGAAAAAGATGCAGTCAAGAAAAGAACTGTACTGTACACGAAGGGTTAAGTTTTAAGTAAATCAACTCCAGAACAAACAATAAATGTGATTTCAGTTTCAGACACCGAATCTTTGTCTTTATTGTTACGTTGTTGCGTCACACGGCGGTGATGTTTGACGGCTGTGTCCAAAGCCTTTGGTTAATTGTTTTATCAAACCGCTAGGGGGAGCTAGAATACAAACTCCAGTTTGCATTCATTTGAAGCAGGTTTGGCATGCACCCCAGCTGTAGGTGGCAGGAGGGAATACTAGTTAGCAGTGTTTAAATGATCTCTGTCTAAATCACAGAGCGTAAATAATAAAACAGCAAAGTTACTTGAGAATGGTGATCAGGATCAAAATGCCACGGCTACAGCAGGCGTCGATACACAGCCTTCAATTTTCATTCTTACCCCTGGAAAAGAACTAAAACTGAACACTGAGCTGCTCTGGGGGTTTTGATCATGACAGCTTACAGAAGGGAAATTGAGCAAAGTGAAAAGGGGAAGCGGACACATTTGTGCATGCTCTAATTTCTTCATCATACATGGGACCGATGTTAAGAAAAAAGCTATAACACAATATAATGAAAACTATCCACTTCTTCAGATTAATGTCAACACATGACATACGACGTGTCCTCAAAAAAAAAAAAAAAACTAAACCAAAATGCAAAAGCAGCGTGTAAAAAGCTCCTGATCCAGCTGCCTGTACAATCAGCTTTAGCAGTGAGAATTTGAAGTAGTTGTTTTCTGTATCACTTTATGAGTCTCTCACATCACAGTGAAGGAATTTTCTTTACGGGTTTGCAGGAATTCATTTATTGATAGCTGTCTTAAGATCCCACTCAGGTCGACTTTGACTGGACCATTGCAGCACTAAGCTTCTTTTCTTTTTCAGCCACTTTATTATAGATTTGCCGCTGTGCTCAGGATCAGTTTCCTGTTCCATGACTTTGTTTCTGCCCAGTTTTAGCTGTTATTTGACTCCAGATTACTTTGGTGTACCGAGAAGTTCATGCTGGACTCGTTGACTGCAAGATGCCGAGGTCCTGTGGGTGCAAAACAAACCCAAATCATCACCCCTTCACACCCTTTGTGTTTGTTCAGATGCTGCTTTGCCAACCTAAACCATGTTCTTTTTAGGAAGAAGAGACTTTCTACTGGTATCCCTTCCAGACAAGCCATCCTTTTTCAGTGTTTTTCTTTTCTTTTTACTCTCATGAACTTTTAACATGCAAACTAAGGCCCGCAGAGTCTGAGATGTAGGTCTTGGGTTATTTGCAGATTCTCTAGGCATTGCATGGTATGACCTCAGGGAGAATTCACAGGGATGTGCTTTTCAGGGAAGATTGGAAAGTGTCCCAAATCTTTTCCACTTGTAAATTATCTTCCTTACTATTGAATGATTGACTTGAAATTATTTGGAAATGGGCTCAGAACCCTTTCCAGACTGACGAGCAGCTACAATTGCTTTTCTAAGGTCGCTGCCGAGGTGATTAAATGATCAACTGCTAATGATCAATTGATCAAGTGCATCTGACCGGCAGCTCTGACTGCTGACTGCTCTTAATTCCCGTGGAAGCAGTAAAGGTGCATTTAGTTTGTCACACACTGCTTCTGCATTATGGTTTCGTTTTTATTAAATAAACGATGACCAGAGATGGGCAGTAACGCGTTACTTGTAACGTGTTACTAATGGGCTGAAAGATCTCTCGCTTTATCACCTATTCAGGTTGTAAATTGTGTTTTAAAAAAGTAACTAAGTAACTAATTACTTTTGAAAATAAGTAATCAGTAAAGTAACGGAATTTTTTTGGGGGGAAGTAATTAGTTCCTGATTACTTTTTTCAAATAACTTGACCAACACTGACGATGACGCAGTGTAATATGTCGTGTTGTTGTTCACCGAGGTTGCACTTAACTCATTTTAGACCAGTTAAGGACCAGATTGTTTTTATGTCCTGATACTTACAATCTAAGAACTGATAGAGGTGGCACTCTGACTGTGTGCTGTGTGAAAAGGTTTACCTGCACTCAGCTTCACAGTTCCCGTAGCTCTGCGGAGCACTTAATAGCACTTTAGCATCTTTTATCCAGTAGCAACAAAAACAATGTAGCAACGAGCTGTTGAACAAACCAGAGCACTCAGCAGCTAAAGGAGAGTGAATATTGGACTTTTCTTTCCCAAGTGATAAACATGCCTCTAAATGAACGCCAAGCATCCGTCTCCCAAATACATAGCCACATCAGAGAGCTTTGCAGATCGGGTTTTCCATGTACATGGTGAGTTGATCTAGGAGTCTAAATACAGCCCTGTTTATGCTTGTTTATTTTTGACATAGCAGCTAACATTTATTTCTTTCACTCTTTTTTTAAAAACCCTGTTTTGGGTCTTCACCAGTGTGAGAGAAACAGTTTATCCTTTCAGCTACACCAAACTCTAGCTGCTGACTCAGTCAGTCTGTGGTTTGATGCTGAAAAAGTAGCAGTAAATAGAGCAATTTTACAGATAATAGCTTCCTGCAGCAGGTAAAACAAGACAATGAGAACAGTGAGAGTGACTCAATAGAGACTCTAAAAATCTATACTGGAGTTGATGGGAAGTAGAGAACTGAGTAACAATTCTTCCTGTGTTTGTCAGTAGAAGCAATGCTTTTCAAATACAAGTGAAAATGCAATCCAAGCTTAAGACAAAACTGTTGCTTGAAGACGTGTCTGTCACTCAAGTTCATTTACCTCTTCACTGAGAGAAAAGGGTCACTGTTCATGAATACAGTTACCCTGAGTCCTGTTATTCTGTGATGAAACATTTCTATCTTGATGGAAATGATCTCCTCCAGGATGACCGTGTCTCTATTCAGAGGGTCACTGCGTGTTTTGAGGAGTATGAAAATGATGTGAATCATCTGGTATCCACCCCGGTGAAGACTGAGGAAGAGTTTTGTCACCCATCTATACACAACCTGTCCAAACACCCCCTCCCCCCAAAAAAATGACGAATCCTTCACAGGATACTTTTTCAGATGCCTGGATCATTAGGAGAATGCTGCGTATTTATACTCCTACAACATGTGCTCAGCAGCTAGCTGCTGATTAATTCTGCTGTTGCTTGAGATATTGGGTCCTGTGTTTGTTAAAATCCCTGTGAAGACATCCATTGTGTGCTGATCAAGTCAGAAAGTGGAAAAATACAACGTGTGAGATCATTCTGGAGTACTCATCATTAATTAACATCATTGATTTCACTTCAAGACATGAATGTGGCTAACAAACATCGATCCAGGAAGCACAAAACATTTAGTCCGTGTCTGTCCTGCAGGGTCATTTGTCTCCTTTTGGAGCTTATTGGCAAACATTCGTAGCCCTTGAAAATGTACAAAAAATGTACAAGAAAGGTATACATTTTTTTTTAAAATTTGGTGATCGTTTTGGCTGTACAACAGCTGGTGGCATGACGTTTTGAGGGAATCTTTTTAGCAAAATGTTTGTTTTTTACTCTTACATGTTATCCATACTCTGATGATGTATTTGGCAACCTTTGTGTTTAAAAATGTACACGCATAAAATCTGTCATAAAATCCTCATACAAGAATATTTTTTTCTGCTTTTTTTTCATAAACCACTTAATCAACTCAAGCTCAAAATGATCAAAAATTATATCATTTTCACAATTTTAACTCTTTAAATGCCAGTATCTCTCCAGGTACTGCTTCCTCTCACAGTCCACGTCCCTTTATTTTCCAATGAAACCACTTTTTTAATCTCTTTGCCTTTGCAGTTTAAAACTATGTATTCTGTAAGTCAGTATTTCATTTCGAAGAAAACTAGTGATATCTGACATTTCTACTGTTTTCCAACAGATTGAAACCTTGCTCACATTGCAGGCCAATGCATGAAATGCTTGTATTTTTTGTATTTTTCTGTGTGTGTGTGTGTGAGTGAGTGAGACAGAGAGTGTGTGAATCTGTAAACATTTTGATAGTTGAAAAAGTCATCTTGTAGGGATGAGTTTGAAGAGGTGCTTCTGCCTCTGCTGTCCTCAAAAACAAACATTCAAAAAATACAGAGATGAGCCACAGTGCACCCATGTTGTTCCCTCTATCTGCAGCCGAGCAGATTATTTAAAACACATGTTAACCTTTATAGGTTACCCATAGTGTCCGTAATTGGTAAATGATGTTTTTTTATTTCTTTTTCTTTTTTTAAAAAGAAGTCCAGATGTGACAATTTTATTCTGGAACTTGAAAGCAGCTTAAATTAGTGGCTGTCAAGCAGGTCTCAAAACCTCACGTGGCCATGCAACATGATCTGTGCGTATCAGGCGGTTCGTCCACACGTATAGGTTTTGTGAGCGAGCGAGAAGTTAGAGAAGTGACATGTAGTTTTAGACATTTGTATGCACAGAAAGGTAAAATGATCAGTCTCGTGAGTTAAATAATAAATTGTGCATAAATGGTGAGTATTTATTCAAGTTTGGGTGTACGCATTTGTAAAATACTTTTAAAAGTGCTCAGATTGCTTCGTATTTGTGTGTCATTCAATCACTCTTGGAGCCTCTGATGGTCACATATACAGAATA